TCCAACCCTAACTAATCTATGATTCTATGATCTGTGATTCTATGATTGCACCCATTATTATAAATAAACAATTATAAAGCTAATTTTTACGCAAGTCCTGCACTACAGGACTGGCATATTTCTGGCTGAACATGTAGATCTTGTTTCTAGATCTAAATTATATTCAAAACAAAATGGAAAACAATTTTGTGCTTTCACAAAAGCAAACCCAAAATGCAAAGAAGCTTCTTCCTTGATTTAGCTTTTTGGATTTCTAGACAATATACAGGGAGAATAAACACATTTAAAAAACCTATCTGAAATCTTCCTTCCACGGGAACAAGAAAGGAATTTTCCCTTCTCAAGGATTAATTTCCCCTCTCTGAATTGCAACGCCCTTTTTAATTAATTTTTCTTTCTAGACCTAAGGTCTAGTTCCAAATGTGCAATTAAAATAGAAGGGTTTCCATTATTGCCTTAGCCAGATAGCAGGGTTGGACACAAATCCAGGAGATCCACCAAACAAAAAAAAGGAGGCATGAAAAATAAGGTTACTTGTCTGAAGCAACTGTGGGTTCAGTTTTGAATGGGAATGGCTGCTGTTAATCACTGGCCACACAGACATGCTATTGTATTTACCAGAAATTAATGAAGACTATAGACCCTTCCAAAGAGAAGTTGTCACTTGGGTAATGAATGCTATCTGAATACCTGAGAAACAACATACTCATGTAATGTGGAAATTAAAAAACCATAAGCAAAGAGAGGAATTATCCTGTACAACTGTGAAGCTTCTGTTTCCTGCAGATGAAATACTCTGTGCCTAAAACTATCTTATGTTCATAAGAGATAGCAGGTACTTCCAGGAAACTTAAGTTTCTGGTGTAACACACCAATGCGTTCAGTTCCACTGCACCAGGCCGATCTACGGGCACAATGCATTTGCAGACCAGACACACGTTGGTTGGGATGACAAACCATATTCAGTGCTTAAGTGGGCTTAAGTCAGTGATAAACGAGGAGATGGGCACAGTTCCTAACAAGTGACCTGAGCTGCCTTAATAGGTTGGTCCACACTTCATAAAGCTAGAACTGAGCAATAGGACTGCCATCTACAGTGCAACTCATCTTAATTAAAACCACTCATTAATGGCTTGAAAACTAGCCGCCATTTATGTGCCAGTGAGCGATCAAAACTGGTTGTGAGGCAGGCCATACTTCTTACAACCTGACAAAATGTACTTCATACCTTAATGTGAGCAACAGACGGACAGAAGGGGGAAGTAGCTGCAAGTTAGCAACAGGAAGGCCACACTGTAAGGGAAACAGTTTTTTAGTGGAGATAACCCACTAGCCTGCAATAAGCTGTGCAACTGAGTATCAATAATCGCCTTCACTGTAAATAAACCCTAATTAGAAAGTGGAGTAGGTGCAAGACAGCGCATCATACGTTAACCTGCAAGTGCACACAGGGTTCTGCGAAACTCCCAGCAAAGGGCCAAAAGCAGTCATTGAGTGGGGCAGTGCTGACATTGTGGTCAGACTGAAGGGTCTTTCCTGTCTTACTCTGTTTAGTGTCTAGGAACTTGGTAGACAAAGGATATTAAAAAAAAAAAAAAAAAAAAAAAGACAGCACCTTACCCACATTGCTCAGGCCTGATTAAAATGCTGTACAAAGGCCACAGGATGGTCCTTCATCTCCCCCAGTCCTCCCCAAGCTGCTAAATGAAAGAGCATCTTACTCTGTCAGATACCAAGCTCTACTTTTCTGTCCCCCTGCAAGGTTGTCCTGTGATTGCCCCACTTGAATAAAGCAGCTTTGCAGTCCCCTTCACCCAGGGGTACTAGCTCTCTCTTTTCAGAAAAGCAGCTCTTTTCTCCCCATCTCAGAGCCCAAAGCAGCAACAACTCTGCTCTTTACACTGACCAACTCTGCTCCCCACCTGCTCACCCAGAAAGCCACTGTGCTCCAACCAGTGTCCTTTGCATTTCCACTCCTCCTGCTCCCAGCTTGGGCTGCTCTATTGTAGACTGACTGCTCTCTCTCTTACCATTTTGACCTACTAAGTGCTCCGTGGCAGGGATAAGTAAGCAGAGATAGTTAAATGAAGAGCTTGAATATGGAGCAAATTGCACAGCATTACAATATATCCTTAATAGGAAATATGCATCCCTCCTATGAGAGTGAAGTCTTTGGCTTTAACTACCCCAAAATCATTTTGTCCATCATTCCTCTCAATAGAAGGAACAGACCAAGTAAAGGTGCTTTTTACCTGGAGGATTTGAAAATAAAGCTCAGAATTCTACTAGAACTACCATGCAAACAGCTATTTTGTGTCTCTGCAAAGAGGTATCAAAAACGTAAATACAGCAGTATTCTTAGAAAAGAGAATTATTTCAATCTAAAAGTATTAAAATAAATTACAGATAAACATGATTTAAAATTCATCTCTGAAGGATTAATTTAATCCTTGTTCAACTCTGCCGTACTTGAGCAGAAGGTGATCACCAAAACATGCCAAGGAACTCCACCCTTTACCACAAAGTCAGGGTTAGAAATGGCCTTGCTGATTCTGGTTCGCAGAAAGGATTATTTAATCCCATACCCTTCAAGTTTCTGAGCAGAGATGTTCTTTTCTAACAATACCTTTGCAACAGCAATAGCAGCAGACAAGCTACACTTCTCTGGGGAGCCTTTTTCCTTGCTACATATGGTATTATCCAGCTGGCAGCAACACCAGTGAACCAACATGCTGCTGCTATGAAGCATTTCCTATTTTTTGGTTGTACTCCAAGCTTCTCATATTTACTCAGCACAGCAGTAAGTAATTTCTTCTCCTTCACATCTGGATTACAGAAAAGATTTTGGTGGTTACCGAAGTTTTAATCACCTACATATCCCTACAATCAACAGGTATAACATCCAGTTCATCTGTATGGAAACTTTCTTGCAGGTGTGCACCCTTGCCCCCAACCCCTGTTCAAACACATGCCCTGACCGCTGTTCGGGGCTGCGTGTTGTAGCATGGCCAAGCCACTGCAGCAGTGGCTGCCGCGGGCCAGCTGCGCCCCCACCCGCACGAGTGGAGGAAGCACTAGGTGCTGGTGACATGTAGTGGTGGTACGCAATGGCATCTAGGTGGCTAGGTGACAAGCCATCTGTGCTTTTGGCTCACTGCAACTGACAGCTGAGTTGGAAAAGTTACTCACAAAACAGTAACAGATCAAAAATATTTCCACTTCATTTTGTACCAGCGCAACAGATCAAAACCATGACCACCTGAACCTGGGCTCTGGGCATTTACCAGCTGTGACACGAAGGCCCAGCCCAACGCCTGCACAGAGCAGATCTCCCAAAATTTTACAGAAAGAGCAGCTGCCTGTGGACAACCAGGCAGATACAGCTGCCTTTCTCCACTGGGACAGCAGGGAAGGAGGGTGCGGGGAGAAACCAGTTAGTGTCTGAAGAAGAGCCGGCAGAATTGTGCCTTGGTTGTCACACAGCAGTGCCCATCAGGCAGTACCAAGGTTGGATGGCAGCCTGCTACATTCATCATTACCTGTCTGCCGTCCCTGCCCTTCTCTTTAGTTCAGCTAGTGTAATAGACATGAAAGAAGAGAGTCTTATTGCGGAGGAGGGAGTATGAGTTGTCAAATTTCAGCAGGTAGATGCCCTCGCCTGGGTACTCGTGGCTGCCTGCCTGCACCTCCCGATGGCTGTTCCTCCGATACACTGGCATGATCTCTCCATAGCGGTTCCGTAGATAGCTTTTGGAGCCCCTTTCCACATCACCAACAGAGGCAAGTCCTGAATGGGAGAGAGGAGACAAGTAAGCAAGCCAGAGCCAGTTAAGCTGCTAGGTTGTCCAGAAAAAGACCAAGACAAGAAAGCAGCAGAGGCATGCAGGTATACGGCTGGCTAAATGGGACAGCATTACCCACAGTGTCTGTTTTGACCTTTCTGCAAGTAATACCCACGAAGTCCAACTTACCTTACCATGACAAAGGACATGCCAAGAACCAGTTCTCTTTGGAATATAGACGGGACAGTATCCACTTGCCTGCTAGCCTGGTCTCCTCTCCCTGGACTTACCTTTTAGACACATTACTTTATATGCACAGTACTGGACCAGTGATACAGACTTGAAGCAAAAGAAAGGCAGGAAAGCTCTTAGCTATAATCTCACTGTGTTTATGTCCTCAGTTCACTTCTCGAAGAGGATTCCTCATACAGAAACCTAGCCCTCGTTGGACAACCTGGAAAATCAATTTCAGACAACAACCCCCAGCTACTCTGGTCACACACACTGAAGCCACAGAACAGGCAACACCACTGTGTGTTTCACAAGACACAGATAACAGTCCTCTCAAATGCAGTCAGTGGGAGCTACTGATGTACTGGGGAAAAAAAAAGAAACACCAAACAAAAAAACCAGAACAACAAAACAACAAACACCAGAAACAAGAGACACCCCAATAACAAAACCACCAAACAAAACCCCCAGAAACAAAACCTTTTTGCCTCTACTCACCACCAGAAATTTCTCAGCCCAAGAGGCTAAGAAAACCAGTCCAGTTAAAATTTCAAACCCTGATCTTTTTATGAGCTAGAAGTTGAACAACTGAATTCTGATTTTATTTTTCAATGTGTTCAATTTTAAGAATGCTTTTGGGGAAGGACAGCCACTGACATACACTGAAGTAGGAAGGGCTAAGTGCTTTCTCATCACAGCCTAACCAAGAACACAAAAGGCTGCAGAGATAATAAATAGGCTGAGTAAACAAAGTAGATGGAAATGATGACATCTGACAGTCTCAGCAGCATATCAACAAGCACCACAAAGTAACCCTTGTAAGCTCTGCACTAACCTTCATTTTCCTCCTCCTCCTCTTCATCCTCCTCATCACTGGATTCGCTGACCTGAACAGTAATAGCAGTGCTACTAACTGTGGTCCAGTCAAAGTAGACTCCAAAACCAATGTCGTAGTCATCTGTAGCAAACTCCCAGCAAATGCATTTCCCATCAGGATGGGTTGGCACACGGACTGTCACCACCTCGCCTCGCTTCACTACCATCCGGCCATTCTTCTCCTTTCCCATCTTGGCTTTGAATTCCTTAATCTTCTCAGTGGTCCACATGGCGGGTGGAGCCAGAGGGGGAGGCTGAGCTGAGACAAGGGAAAAGATCGTGGGCTCACCTGACTTTTCACTACTGACAAACACTCACCTGAAAACAGTGAAACTATTTCTGATAAGGCTTTTGCACTCTAGACCCTGCCTCCAGAAACCATGGACATGAAGATTTCCTACTCACTAGCTAGGAGCCCAGATTTCCAGCACGAA